TCCATGATAAATATGTAAATAAGTAGTTAGATACACATATATTCCTAATGATAAATACCGACTAACACCGTAACCAGAGACGGTATGTAGGCTACTGAATAATTTTAAATTTCCCGCGCCATTTTCTCTAGTCGGTTCCTCGTTCAAATTGCCGCGGAATTCGAGCAGTTCGCCTATTTCCGTGTTGGAAAGTTTCGTCTGCATTGCTAATTTGCCATTTCCAACAGCTACGGAGTTTCACTTGTAGGATCATTATCATTAATTACAGTCGTGTGCTATGCGGTTATATTTTCACCCGCCTCAATTAAGGATGCTTGAGTGTTCCTTCAAATGGTGATAATATTTGCCGAAAGGGGCGTTGTTAGCGTATGATCTTGGCGGAACTACGTGCTTCCTGTCGTGGGAGGATGTGAGAATGGCGGGGCATACTAGGGCGGGTCTGACGGGAAAGAATCTCGGGGATATTTTCTCTTTTATCCCTGGTGATGTGGTAATGGTGATCTGATGTGATGCTGCGATGATGATGTGTGCGATGATGGATGATGATGATGATGCGGATGGTGGTATTGATGTAATGTGATGGTGATGATGATTGTGATATGATAATGGCGGTGGTGACGGTGATGGTTTTAATTATGATGATGGTGATGACGATGTGATGATGGTGATGATAATGATAATTCATCATTATCATGACGGCGATGTTGATGAAATTCTGCATATTTTCAAACTTTTCTTTTTCAGTGACCTTATACTGCTAAAGAATTCCTGCTTCGATGTTAAATTCGTTGTATTCACCTTTGCTGTTCTTTCTTCTCGCAATAAAAGTATCCTACATTTTTTTTCTTACTTTGTCCCAATACAAATAACAAAGTAGTTAAATCAGTTTCCACCGATATTTTTCTTGAATTGTTCAATGATTTTCTTTCACCCTCTCTTTCTATTTTGACTAATTCTAATTCTAATATTGCAATCTTCGCGCCATTTTTAAAAATAAGAATCGCGGGCGTCATTCTAACGGTATTTTTGTATCATGGCAACCTGAAGAGTTGGGAAATGACTTCCGTTATATAATGTATATTTCGGGATTTAGCTTAATGGCTTTTAAATGTAGGGATTTTTAAAAATTCTTCTCTACTAGCTAAGAATACACATATATATGTTCTACAGTAAAATGAACACAGCCATAATGGTAAGGAAAACACTAAGTCATAGAACATGGGTATGGAAACGAAGACACACACACACACACACACACACACACACACACACACACATATATATATATATATATATATATATATATATATATATATATATACATATATATATATATATATATATATATATATATATATATATATATATATATATATACATATGTATATATATATATATATATATATATATATATATATATATATATATATATATATATATATATATATATATATATATATATATACATATATTATATATATATATATATATACATACATACATACATACATACATATATATATATATATATATATATATTATATATATATATATGCACACACACACACACATATTATATCTCTCTCTCTCTCTCTCTCTCTCTCTCTCTCTCCTCTCTCTCTCTCTCTCTCTATATATATATATATATATATATATATATATATATATATATATATATATATATATATATATATATATATATATATATATGTATATAATATATATATATATATATATATATATATATATATATATATATATACATATATATGCGATATACATTATGCATATGTTTATATATGTATAATGATATAATGATATGCAGAAATGTGGTAAAATAGATGGTCTTCTTTGATTCATAGAAAACAAAGAATTTCACACCAATGAAGACCTTAAGAGACCAATCTAGTTCGATCATTATCAAACACTAAGACCTCTTTGAACAACAATTAATGAATCCAGTTTAGAGTTTTTTTTTTTTTTTTTTTTTTTTTTTTTTTTTGGATGTTTCATTTCATATACACTAAAGAATTTTTTTTTGTATTCTTTTAATGGTCCAGCGAAAGTTGCTTATCAATTCAATCCCTTAATTCATTCCATGAGGCTTCGCAAATTCATATGAAAAATTTACTTCTGTGGCGGATATTTTGATTACAGACCGCTGTAAATATCCCAATCTCATAAGTAAATGAATTCGTAAATCATATTCTTCAGGTGCGGATCTTTATGGCGATTCGGATATCCCAATCATCCACGCCCTGTTCAATAAAGATAAATTTCTGCAGATAATGTTGGAGAGTGAGCCGGCGCCAGTGAGACAGACACGCGCTGTTAATATACTCCTTTGATTGAATCGTTGACAAGTTGCCGATTTATTACGCTTTTTCTGGGTAAATAATCAAGACTTGGACACACTGGTCCTATCATTTATACACAGTTGATACAGCGATGTATATATATATATATATATATATATATATATATATATATATATATATAT